ATAGACACAGTGCTAGGCCAAGCTTTTGCCACCACCTCATATTAGGGATAACAACACATCTCACATTCTCAGGCCTGGTTTCACTCTTTCTTCAGTACATGTGATCTTAGCAGTTCTCAGTTTACACAGGCTCCGCGTTGCCTGGCTGATCTGTGCTGATAAACTTGCAGGAGTCTAAACCTACTTTACGTTAATGGCTGACTTTAGAAGCTCCTCCCTCTGTGACCTTTCCTAAAAGCTGATGCCAGAGAAAGCACATCAGTTCTGCTTTCCACCACTACCTGTGCTAGTGGGCTTGCAGTCATTTTAGTCCTAGTGTATGTACCCCAGTCTCAAGACACTATGGCCTTTATTGATGTTTGTGCTTAATTTTCAAGTGTTTTGCAAAGATTTTTAACCCCAACATGTTCTGTCAAACGCTAAAGCAGTGAGGTGATCAAAGGCCTAATGAATGGAGACAGAAAAGAGCGAACAAAAGTAGAGATAATTCAATAAAACTGGTAAGAGATAAAGATACTCAGATATAGAAATTTTGACATCAGGAATTTGACATCTTGTAACATTTGAAAAGTACTGTACTTGTAGGGTCTGCCAGAAGTCAGCAAGAGGCTAGGAAAAATAGTTGATGACATGAAAACATGATTCAACGTTGTCAGCACCAAATTATCTGCATTAACTGATGTTAATCCTGGGGAAAATTAGAGGTTTGCTGGAGAGAAGGGTTTAGACAGATGATAGGCTGCCCATTTATGCAAATCAAGGATGGTTCCTTGATCGAATGCTTTAAGGCCACAACATCATTGTGAGTACCCTTAGGTACCTGCAGAGACTATCAAGGAGGATGGATGGTACCCCCGCCAATTTTCCTACATATCTGGGAATTCATAAATGGAATTGAACTTGTGGGAGCCACAGTAAGATATGATTAAAGAACTCGAAGATTAAATGCTACCCTGCTGGCAGACGCCTTTATTTCCATCGTTGTACAAGTCAGAATTAGTGCAACCCTAATTTAGGATTAGGAATGGCCCACAGCTATGCATAAAGCTCAGTCAAAGTTCTGTGAGAGAATGATGGAACACAGCCAGTATCATTCTTGATGCATGGAGAGAAGTTGATTCATTGTGAACAGAGTGTGCCTTAGAGTTTAACTTCCTAGTAGAACCCGGTTGAGAAGGGGTAAGTGATGCTTAATGTGCAGTAAGGAGTTGTTAATTCGTTGGACAAGGACCAGAAGTCCTTTGAACAGTGACCAAGCTCTAAGATTTGTATACGAAGGCAATTTAGGAGATACTACACAAGAAACATTGAAGTAGCCTAACTGTCTAGCAACAAGAGAATGCTTAAGTACCTTAGAATAGATCTTTGTATTACTCCATTTCCTGTTGCTAATAACAGCATACTTGAAACTGGGTAATTCATAAGGAAAACAAATTTAATTCTTATGGTTTTGGTGGCTGGGAAGTTTAAGGTTCAGGGGGCACATCTGGTGAGGACCTTTGTCCTGGTGGGGACTCTGCATAGTCTCAGGTTGGAACAGGGTATCACATGGTGAGAGTTCAATTCCTTGTAAAGCTGCTAGTGCCATTTCCATGGTAACCCATTTATTCATTAATCCATTCAAGAGGGCAGAGCCTTCCTGATCCAATCAACTTCTAAAGTCCCCACCTCTCAACAGTGCCACATTGGGGATCAAGTTTCCACAGGAGCTTTGGAGGTGATCAACATTAAGACCATAGCTTTCCAACCCTGGCTCCCCAAAGGTCATGTATTTCTCACATACATTCATTCCATCTTCATACCCCCAAAGTTTTAACATGTTCCAGTGCCAGTTCAAAAGTCTCATCTGTGAGCCTGTGAAATCAAAAAGAGTTATCTACTTCCCAGATACAGTGGTGGGACAGGCCTAAGACAAGTAATCCCATTCCAAAAGCGAAATGAGCCAAAAGGAGGGGGTTACATGTCCCAAGCAAGTCCAAAACCCAAGAGGGCAAACACTGAGTCTTAAGACTCCAGAATAGCCTTCTTTGATTCTGTATCTGACATCCTCTACACACTGGTGCAGCAGTTGGGTCTCCAAGTCTTCAGACAGCCCTACCATCACAGCTTTCCTGGGCTTATCCTACACTGCAGCTCTCCCAGGCTGGTGTTGCATGCTGGTGGGGGCTCTCTGCTACAGCTTTGATCCTGTATTTTCACTTAGCATTGCTCTAGTGGAGTCTCTCTGCAGTGACTCCACCCATGCTACAAGTGTCTGCCTGGGCCCCCAGGCTTTTCCATACATCCATTGAAATCTAGGTTAGGGTTAGGCTCTTGCGTTCTGCAAGCCTGCAGACTTAACACCACATGGGTGTCACCAAGGTTTACAGTGTGTATCTTCTGAAATGGCCAGAAGCTGCACCACAGGCCATTTTAGCTACAAGTGGGGCAGCCCAGGAGCACTGTGCCAGAATTTAGAGAGAAGAATCCCAAAACAGCCTTGGTCAACTAGCCTGTGGAGGATTCCTCAACCTGTCTTCGGAAACCATTCTGCCTTCTTAGGGCAGGGCAACCTGGGAAGGGCAACCTCAAAGATCTCTGCAATACCTTTGGAGTCTTTTTCCAGTCGTCCTGATGCATAGCACCTAGACCCTTTTTTATCAGTGCTAATCTCTTTAGCAACTGGTGGTCACTCTGCAGCAACCTTGGCACTCTCCCAGATGTGTCTTTTTGCTCCTTACATGGGCAGGCTGTGAATTTCCCAACTATTAATACTCTTGTTTCAGTTCTTATTATAAATTCTATCTTTTAAGTCATCTCTTTGTTCTCTCACTTTACTGTAAGCAGTTAAAAGCTGCTGTGCAACAGCCTGAATGCTTTGCTGCTTAGATATTTCTTCTATCAAATACCCTAATTCATTGCTCTTAAGTTCTGCATTCCATAAAGCCCTTGGGCATGGATACAATTCAGCCAAATTCATTGCCATTTTATAACAAGGGTGAGCTTCGCTCAAATTTCCAATGAATTCCTTCTCATTTCCATCTGAGAACCTCAGAATGTCCTTTATTATTCATATTTCTATTGGCACTCCAGTCACCACCACTTAACCAATCTCTAACAAGTTCTAAACTTTTCTTAGTCTTGTCTTCTAGGCCCTCACCATAATCTAGCTCTTTTCTAGCCTGCTTCTCCAAATTCTTCCAGTTTCAGAGCCTCTTCCACATTTTCCGGTATTTGTTATGAGCAGCATCCCCTCTTCCTGGTACCAGTTTTCTCTCTTAGTCTGTTTTCTATTGCTTACAACAAAATACCTGAAACTGGGAAATTTTCAAAGAAACAAAATTTATTTTTTAGAATTCTGAAGGCTGGGAAGTCCATGGTCCTGGGGGCACATCCGGTGAGGACATTCTTACTGGTGGGAAGTCTGCAGATTACAAATCAGCACAGGGTATCACATGGCAAGAAGGCAAAGTGTGCTTCTTCCCCTTATAAACCCACTAGCACCATACCCATGGTAACCCATTTATCCATTAAGCTATTAATCTGTGAATCAGTTAATCCGTTCATGAGAGCAAAGCCTTCATAATCTAGTCATTTAAAGGCCCCACCTCCCAGCACCGCCACATTGGGGGTTAAGCTTTCACGTGAACTTTGGAGGGGACAGACATTCAGACCATAGCAATACTGTTGGTGAAATATTATGTAGTCATTGTAAATAATGATCTTTTTTAGAGTTATAACTCTTCACTCTTACTAGTCCTATGCAAGTTACTTAATCTTTAATATCTAAGTCACAGAATTGTAAGAATAAAAACATGATATATATAAGCCATTGAATACATAGAAGTTACTCAATAAATGATGAATGTATGCTTATTATTACATATCAAATGAAAAAAATGGTATATTAAATTTTTGTTTTTGTTTTGATGGCTGGCCAGTATGGGGATCCGAATCCTGATTTGTTTTATTTTTTAAATGGAGGTGACAAGTCTGTGTATATATATACTGTGATTATAAGTATATAAGTATATGTGTATGTATATACATGAATAGGAAAAGACAAAGGGAAACAACTCCGTAATGCAAGCCATGGCTGTTAAAGGATGCATTTAACAAAATATACTGTAGCTTGTTATCTGTCATCTTTTAGACATTAAAATGCCAGATTTATAATGAAATTAAAATAGGTTGTAGTCATTGGCTCAAGTTTAGTATACATAATCATGGAGTTAGATTTGGGTTTTTATTTTGTTTTCTTAAATAGCAAAAAGTGAAAATTACCTTGGGGAATTACTTAAGGAAATAGAGTATTGAGGGTAAAAAGTTTCTCCTACAGAAACAGAAACCTTACAGCATTGGATAAAGTAAAAGAGTGTTGCTATGACGACACATTCATCTAAGGTGCCTTTTCCCATTAACAGCAAAAATATTCTGGAAATAATTTATTTTTAATGAGACAAACTATCTTAACTCAAAGATATTTCCTTAGTTTAAAAAGTCATGTCCTGTGATTTATGTATGAGTAAATTTAAAACCATCATTATATTTCAATGAATCTCTTAAATTTTAATTCACGGGTCAAATCTCAGGTGAAGTGCAGTCATTAATTGTACTTATATTTCTTGAAAAAGTCTGAGTTTCTTTGTTGTTAGGGGGAGCACATTGATACTGGAAGGCTACTAGGCCCTGAAGCGTGTTACTTAGTTGAAGATTTTATGCTGTTTCCCAGATTGGTTATACCTAAGCACAAAGTTGTCCAAGTATGTAAATAGAATTAGAGCAAAGGAGGGTCCTTAGCTCTACCTGGTACTGAGATACAAAAATTTTCAAAGCTAGAATTGAAAAAAAAAAAAAATCCTAATTGTTCCCTGTTCAGTCATTCTAACTTGTTCTGAAAATCAGATGAGTCCCTTGATAATACCACAGGGAGTATGGCAGGGAGCTAACCAGGACTGGGGAGCACGATTAAAAGGATGTTGCTAGCAGATATTTTAAAAAATAAAAATAAAGACAGTGCTTTGAATTGAGTAAAGTTCATGTGTTTTTGTATAAAATCTGGTAAGAGTGGATCATAAATTTGTCACATGAACTTGTTAAAGACTAATGAAGGCTTTGAAGAATGCAAGTTTTATAGCTAAAAACTTAATAACATTTTTTTTTCAGACACCTTCAGCAGTAAACAAGATAAAACAGCTTCTTAAAGATAAGCCTGAGCACGTAAGTAAAACCAGTCAAATATGTAGTAGAAAAATTGAAGTTATATTTCCAGAATAAATTTATCTTGTGACTTTTATTAATGACTTTTATTAATCAGGGGTTTTTATTTAAAAAGTAAGGGCTGGCTAGTTAGCTCAGTTGGTTAGAGCATGATGTTGTAACACCAAGGTCAAGAGTTTGGATCCTCTTACCAGCAAACCACACACACACACAAAAAGTATAGTAAGAAAAAGAGAGTCACCTAAACTTAAAAAGTAAAATATGCTCATGACTTTAAAAAATTCACATCATACAAAAGGTTAGTCAGTGAAAAGGAAGTAACTCTTTTAAACCCAAATTCTTCATAGTCATTCTTCCTTCCAAGAAGTAACCTTTTAGCATCCTTCCAAATATAATCTGTACATTTGATGTGGCTAGACCAGAGTTTCTCAGCCTCCACACTGTTGATGTTTTAAGGTGGATTGTAGGATGTTTGGCGGCATTTCTGGCCTCTGCCCACTAGATGCCAATAGCATCCCCTCCCCTCCTCAGTCGTGACAACCAAAAATGTCTCCCTGAGGGGAACGACTGGCCGAGACTGTGCTTGTAATTGTTGTGTGTGTCTCTCTTTTCCTAAGATGAGAGCGTACCATACCTGCTGTGGTTACACTTTGCTTTTTACCACTAATAATATAGTTTCAAGATCTTTCCATATCATTATGTACAATGGATTTTTTTTTTTTTTTTTTTTTTTTTTTTTGCAGCTGGTCCATAATGGGGTCCATATCATTATATAAAGATCTGCCGCCTCTTTTTTCGTGGCTGCATATACCTATAGTATATTCCATTAAACAACTTTGATTTCTTTAACCAGTCCTGCATATTAAAGGTCATTTGGGTTGACTGCATCCAGTGCTGCCATAAACATCATTTCAACAACTATTTCTTTAGTTGCAATGTGTCAGGCCCATTGTTGTAAACCTGTAAGCATGGCTCAGTGCACCTAACTAGAATCCATTCCTAGATGTAGAATTATTGAGTTAGTGGTGTGTGCATCCTCTTAATCATAGTGTATTGTTAATTGCAATGGAACGCTGTAAATCACTTCAAGTAATGGACTCTTAGTATTTAGTAGACTTTGTGGTAGTGGTTTCTGTGTTCCTTCATATGACCTATGTTACATTGTAATGGGAGTTCCCACACCTCCTTCCTAAGAATTATTGAATGCTAAAGGATATCATTGTTCCAACTCAATGTGGATCAACTAATGACTAGAGTATAAATTGACCAAATGAAACAGGAATTTAGCTTTGTAGATTTGAAGGCTGTGTGTTTCAGTTGATATGAAAACGTGTAATTTATGGCACGAGCAATCCCTTTTTCAAACTCCAGTTACCTAAAGCTGTATTTTCACATACTCATAAGTGTCTATTTATTTCTAATATTTGGACTTCTGCTTACTTGATTCCTCCTGCTTATAAAGATAAAAACTAAGTTAAACAAATACTTACAGTGTGTGCTCCAGAATTTCAACTAGACAGTTTATCATTTATCATTCTGAATAAGTGAAATTCCCTGCCAGGTTCTCTAAGCCGTTATTCTAAAGGTGATTAAAACCTTGGTTCTGTCTCCTTGTTGTTAAGAACAGAGGAGACTACTGTGCAGATGCTTTGGCTCACCACAGCTCCCAGACAGCACTCTAACAAATGCTCTTCTCCAGATTTCCTCCCTCCACATGATTGCTTTCCTGGAGCAAGCATGCATTACTGCTCTTCAAAGAATTACAATCTGCTGGCGAAATACTACTTATTATAGTAATACTTTTACTGTGTTCTTAAATTAAAAAGCAGATAGGCTTCAAGATAGAGAACCTAGTTAGATACTGTTAGAAAATTGCATTAATGTAGACAGTGGTATTTAAAAAGTGCTGTTTGGTCACTTTTTAAATTTCTTATGTCTGTCTTGACTGCAGTCTTTTGCTTTCTGATATTCAAGAATTGTTTACACAAGTCTGGCCCAGAATTAAGGCCCCAGGTAGAGGTAGTATGATTGCCCAGATGATGGCCTGTGAACCTTGGTGAGCCCTAACCATAGGGAGACATCCAGAGAACATCTCACAGAATGAAATCGAACAAAAACATTTTTAAGAAAGTGCAGTTTTTTAGAAAGGCATCTCTGCCATCAGATACTTTTTCATTAAAAAAAAAAGTGATGATTTATTTTTGGAATTAAAACTCTTCCCTGAAAAAGTATTTCCAGCCTAAATGTCTAATAATTAACATGCATTGGAATTAACATGCAGTGGAAGATTATGTGGGCATTAGATGCAAATGATCATGAAAGCTAATTTCGTGGGAAATGACGTCTCAAGTGGAAAAAACAAAGTAGAGAATAAAATTTTTATTTCTACAATTAAGGACTCAAAGAAAATAGGAAAAAACACGCAAGCTGTTTTGTTAGGGTTGTAGTGATTATAATGGTAGTGATTATAATGGTCTTTTTTTGGGGGGTTTTGTTTTTCTCTGTTTTGTTTTGTTTATAAATAATTGGTTTTTATTCTTTTTAGATCCCTCTAGTGTTATAATGATGTTTGTACAATAGTTAAATTTTTTATATCTTTGTTCCCAATTTCATTTCTTCCTACAGGGACATTTTATAGCCAGAAATCTAATATTTATTTTGAGCTTGTGAGAAAATGAATAATATTAAATAGCCAGGTTTTTATTTGTATAATTGTTTAATCTGTACTACTTTAAAACTAAGTTTAGTTTTCAATTCTTTTTCAGGTAGGTGTGAAAGTTAGTGTCCGAACCAGGGGCTGTAATGGCCTTTCTTATACTCTAGACTATACGAAGACAAAAGGAGATTCTGATGAAGAAGTTGTTCAAGATGGTGAGGTTTTAACAAACTTTTTCTGGGCACTTCGTTTTGCCTAAAATATTTAGCCTTGTGCAGCATGAAGTAAAGAGTAGTGATAATGGTAGGTGTGATGTTAAGTAGTGCTCACAGTGTAGCGTGCTAGGCGGCCTTTGATGGGCTTCCGTGTATGAACTGATTTATTCACAGCAACCAAATGAGGGTGATATACTGTGTTATCCCTGTTTTGCTGATGAAAAAACTGAGGCAGGGAAAGGTTAAATAGTTTGCCTAAGGTCATACCATTAGTAAGTGGCCTAGTGAAAATTTGAACCCAATCAGTTCTCTCCAGAGGCTAGTAAACAAGTGATAGATTATCGGATAAGCTTGTTTGTTTCAACTGTGAAAGGTCATCAGTGTGTCCAGAAAAGTAAAACTTCAGAGGGAATCAACTAGCGATTTTTGTGAAATAGCAGTTTTACATCTATGTCAAATAAGTAATGTCAGCTCATGCTTTTGAGGAATTCTGTATTTCCAATTTTCATTAAAAATTTCAGTTCTTTAATTATTTGCCATTACTTCCTGCTCCCCTGCACCCCCCAATGATCTGTTAAAATCTGTTTAAAACAAGAGTAAGTAATGCAACAACTTTGGGCGAGCTTGTTTATGGGTTTTGTGGTGGTGGCGTTTTTATGCTTTGGAGGTGTGCTCTCAGCTAGCACACAGCTCTTGCCTGTGTGGGAGGACTAGGCATGGATTCTTAAGTGTGCTTTTTTCTTATTAAACTGAAGTTACTAACCAATAAAGACATTTTTAATACATTTTTTTAAACTCAACTCATAAAAGAACATAAACTAGACTTTCATCATAAAGAAGAAGTGACCTAATAATTACATATAGTTTAAATATTGATAATGACTCAATTTCTTATAAGGAGGAAAGCTGTCTTAAACTGATTGAATTTACAGAGATGCCAGCCTCTACCTACATCATTACTGGGGAATATTATCTGTTTTCTGGCCCATAATCAAAACAATTATTGTTGTACAATAGTTCTTACTAAAATATAATAACAATGTCTTATTAAAATAACCCCATTCTATCACAGTTCAGTGTATATCTCTAGGCTTAACAGTATGTCACAAGTATATATGCCATTGCAGGGTTTTCATAAAGTTTATTGACTCCATCTTTACAAAACTGTCACTGAGAATATACACATTCTTCATGTTGCAAATTGGAAAAATGTATGATGTGTTAGTGAAAGGCAAATTCTAGTTTTACACAGGATTGTCATGGAATGTACTTGTGTAAAACTGTCTAGCCTACTATAATTGTTTTGACATAGATTAGTGTGTGGGAGAAGGGGGCAGACGGGAAGCTGAGTGCTTAATCCCTTCAAGGAAATCGTGAAATCTGTTCAGAAGCTTCCTGTTTGACTTATGTTGGTAGTTACTATTTAAAGTTCACTTGTGTTTGAATCAGAAGGTTCCATAAAGGCTGCAGGTTTTATATGACAAATTTTCTTTTCCCTAAGGTGTCAGAGTATTCATCGAAAAGAAAGCACAGCTAACACTTTTGGGAACAGAAATGGACT